GTGTGTGTGTGTGCATGTGCGAGCGAGGTGGGGGGTTCAGCAGTTTGGCAGGCAACTTGCCCCCCCCGCTAAAATGATTTTTTTTTCTAGTTCTAAATGTGTGACTCCCTCCGCAATACATCTAGAATTTTTTATTTTTTTTTTAAAGTCTGGCGTTTGGCCGAACGCCGGGGTGGGGGGGGCTGGGCGTTCGGCCCGTCTCGTCCAGGCCCAGCCGAGCGCCTGTAACCCTGCCTGAACGTACTCACTGCACTGGCTGGCTACCATTAAAATAAATGAAAGACAACAGGCCATACTGAAAGTCCTTGAAGGACTTGAGTGAGCAGGACAGGGGTGCTTGGCTTTAGTTGGCACAGTAAACGTTGCACACACTTCAGCAATAGTCTTTCTCCACTAGACCAGCACCCCAGTAAACTTAGCAAGGCATCCTTGCAGGGGTGAGGATATCACGACCACTATGGTTCCCAATTTGAACACCGTGACCTGGCTGTAGTGGTTAAGAGAGTTGACTCTTGGCGCCGAGGTCACCAGTTCGAATCTGCGCTTGCACGGAGGTCTTCGGCCCAGATGTGGGGATCCATCAACTGCTACTGACGAATTTGGTTGGTCCATAATACTCTTCATACAAAGCACATCTCACCCATATTGGCCTGGCTCAGTTGGCACACACATGAACTATCAAAACACAGTTCGAATTCCGATCGAATCTGTCAAGTATTAACTCGGAATTTACTTGGGGCTGGTCAGTTCAAACTTCAAAGATGATATATCAAAGCTGTCACACTTTTTTTATTTAAAAGAAAAAACAATCCCAACAAAAAAACATCAGGGAAAAACTAGTCATTCTTGTCATAACCTGTCATACCTGGCGATACAGAGCTGCATACTTAATGCGCATTGTGTCCTTTACATCTTGGTCAAGAACTGCGACAACGCAAATCGGCAATGACGTGAAAACAACATTGTAGATGGAGAGATACCAGTCCGCATATATCGACTGGCCTGCGAAAAATGCATGCGCATTGAAGAAGAAGATAGTGAATCCAAACACAAAGTTCTTGTAGAAGAAGTAGTTGATCTGCCCCCATGCAAGCACACATGCACACACCCACACACCCACAAAAGTAAGGTCACCCACCCATGCACCGGCACACACACACACACACACACACACACACACACACACACACACACACACACACACAGTTGGACACACACCGGCACAACACAAATGAATGAAATGCATGCATGCACGCCACAGTACAACGCATCCACACAGAGACATTATGACGACATCACCATAAAGACAGAAAACACCAAGGCACACATCAGAATCCATTCCTCCTGTGACCCTGGTTCACCGCCTTGTGACCCCCTCCCAAGTTTGCATGCAGACTTCAACACCAGGCTTATGGCAATTTTTTGCCTCAAAAGTTGAAAACATCACCCAAACCTGAAAAGCATCCTTGTTCTGAATTCCTGAAACAAATTCACAATTCTATTGCCCCATCCCAACAAACTAGCTGTCTTGCCAAGAATAACAGAACACTCCCGACAAACTAGCGGTCTATGACAATTACATGGTAAGAAAGAAGCCAACATAACAGCCATTGAATTGCCAAGCATAGACCGGGATACCCCGCAGGAGCCTATCTGAAAAAGGGGCCGTCTTTGCCAAGAATAACAGAACAGTGCCGACAAACAGGCCACTACTCAAAGTTCCATGCTCAGGTTATACCTCACCCAGCACAGATGTTAAACCACTAGTTTCTCCGAGCCTGTTTTTGCCGACCCTGAATTTCACTGCGCTCCGAGTTTGCCGAGCCTGGGTACCACTCAGTTTTCTTTCTGGTACTCTCACGGAAAGAACAAAAAAAAAAAAAAAAGAAGAAGAAAAGTTGCGGTCGTGAACTCAGAAAAAAAAAAAAAAAAAAAAAAAAAAAAACACGAAACAAAGCTTTGGCCGTGATTGCAGTTGTATACATTCTTGGAAGTGGTAGTGTGAGTGTGCCCTCAATGAGGGCATCTCCTGTCTCTTATACACATCTAGATGTGTATAAGAGACAGACCTATGCCTGAGCCCTGTACATTGACCCTGTGTGCTGAGTGAGATTCGATCCCTAGACCTATGCATGTGCCCTGTACAATCACCCGGTGACTGTGTGAGATTCGAACCCTCGACCT